TTTCACACGGCCGCGCGCGGTATCGTTGCCAGACCACGCGTAAACGCATCTAATACGCACCACTTTACTCTCAACATATAGATTCTTGACTGACTCATACTTACAACATAGTCGTGAAACGACAGAGCTTTGTTGTCTATCGGTAAAGCCTGAAAACGACGCCACTTTAGTATATCCTGGTAAAGTTCTTATCCTATTTATCTATATCTTCACGCAAGCATGCGTAGCATGACGGGATCAAAAATGCTCTGTCTAAATCCAAATGTCCCAAACCCAAGTGTCACTTTTCTCGGATCGAAAGGGAGATATACTATCCTATCCTATGTTATTACTTCCATATTTAAAATAGATTCCTTTAAATAACCTACAAAAAAATGAAAATCCATTTTTAAACAATTCAAATTTCGAATCGCGTTCTTTTATAGTTATCATATAATCCATTTAGGTACAACTCTTTCCTTATTCTTTGCTCACGTACCTATTCAAGAATGAAAAAAAAACTACTTTCATAATAACGACTGTACTTTGTGTACTTCCCGAGTGAAATAACCAAATACCGATGTGCTTAGGAGATAGCCAATGAGTCACTGTGTTGTGTCCTGTCGTCTGCCAATTTTCCTCTCCCAAAACGTTTCAAACAAATTTCGCATAAAATAAAGGCAATACTATGAATCATTAGTCATTAGATTGCGCAATAAAAATGGTGATGTTACTATCCGTTATATACTATAATAATAAATACCTAACTTACAATATATGGTGTTAATTAGTTACTTCGTGTACCTTTTATTTCACTAAATCCATACTTTAAAATTTGAATATATTAGAATATATATTTTTTTCTTTAATTCAGACTTCGCGTTTGGAACAAACAATATTATAAAATTCAAAATTAATTTCAAACGAGATTCTACGATTGAAATATCAATCCTCAGAATTTGGCAGAGAATCTAACAGTGTTTAAATCGAAGAAAGGCACAAAACAAATCGAAATCGATTAGTATGAGACAATGGTTCGTTCGAAACAATACAATCCGATACGAGCCTTCAATCGCACCCGCCGACAGAGAATACGCAATCAGTACCTCGCAAACTGATGATCATATATTGAATCAGGCGTTATCTTGCAGAAATCTATTACAACGTAATAGACTACGATATTTTGCTCGTAAAGGACATTGTAACAACATGTGCACGTCTGCACTGCAAGTTAAATGCATGTGCACAAGCGAGTACAATGTATTACCTAACACAGGGCATGATCTGTTAGTTTTCATAAACAAATATGATAGTAAATCATCTTTCAAGCAATTTCAGAACAAATAACCATATTTATTGACATAATCAAATTGTCTTTAGAAATCAAAGATATCGACTTGGATATTTATACATGTGATATTTTAGCACCTTATTATATTCATATTAATTGAATATGGCATAAAGAATGGTGCTCCATTTCGTTGGTTACATAATATATCTAGATATGGAATAATAAATAATATTTAAAAGTAAGAAAGTAGATTATATGTTTTTCGTGCTATTGAAATAAAAATAAGTATGTCTTTAAGAAAAGCCAAAAATGCACTTTTTAAAGCAATTTAAATAATCACAGTACTGTATCTTATATTTACCATTCTCAGATTCAATATTAATTTCTGTCCCCTCATCGGAATTAATCAATCAATTGTTTTATTTAATAAATTCCGCGAACTTTCTTGAGGGTTGCGACGGAATAGTTCCGATTGTTTTGATTAATTTATTTTAAAATTGAAATATCAGCGTCATGAACTGATTTGCATCACAGACTATGAAAGCTTTCGATAGAATAAATTATTGAAAAAGTTAAATGTGGTGCTCTAAATTTGAAAATTGATTATAGAATAAAGACTCTTTTTTATGCAATGCGGGAAAGAAGCATTGGATTTTCATATTTTCCTTACAAATCAGACAATTTAAACCAAATTGTTATTTATAAAAAACGTTATATATTAGAGATGGTAGATTTATTTAAATGTTAAATTGCAATTTCTACTTTTACGCGTGAAAAATTAGTTAAAGACTTTAAATCCAATGAAGAAATTAGGTGATTTTTGAAACAGATACTTATCTGGAAATGCTACATAAATAAGTTTTTAATACACTGAAGCTATCAATACGGTAGCTTCCGAATAAAAAAGCAATTGACTAACGCGCCTTCTTACGAGCTTTCACCATTTATCGTTCCAAATTTGAAACGTGAAAAAAGAACTAACCGGTGGCGTTCCAAACAATTTAGTGTTGCCCAAAATAGAGTGAACGGCCGTGATCATTCATGGAATCATTAAGTGCGATTACCGCTATTATAATTACCATCGTGAGAGAGCAATCCACAATCACCGGAGTTACCCCAACTTTAATATATTGCCCAAACAAACCGAAATTTCGGCGATGGCTCCGATAGATAACGCTCTTTGTTCCATCAGTAAATTTTTAAACCAACATTTTAATTGTCCGCCGATTTATAAAAAAAATCGGACGCAACCATTCCGTATCGCGATGGTTCGGTCGAATCTTGACTTACGCTTTAACGAATCGAGTATTTCTCGTGCATGACATTGCTTATGTGGAAGGTCTTTAGTAAGTTATACATATTTACCAAATTTCCTAAACTTTATTCTGCAAATAGTTATTTTAAAAAGGAGCTTATTAATATGACAGTATTTTATTGCATAATTGTATTACTTTTTGAAAGATAAATAATAAAGTGAATGTAAGATAATTTACCAATCAACTTTAGAAACATATAAATGTACAAACTTTTGATTAGTCATAATTACGAAACTTTCATCGATATCAATCAAAGTGTATTTCTTATTAAATCGCAGCTGAACGAATTTACTGAATACTTGGAGTCCTTTATAGAGATTAAAATAATAGAACTTTTAATGGCACTAAAAAGTTTTAAAAGAATTCCAATTTCGAATTTGTCTACAGAAACAAATTGCACAATTTCCCCAACCTTGTTACGTATTATTAATCGTAACCGAAAACGTGACGATAAGAATTTCTGAGTTATTTCCATTTTCAAATTTATTCGCCGCAGAATATTTAAATGCGTTATAATGGCGGCCCGAATATGTTCCATACTAACTTTCTATCGAGTCACTCGACTTTTCTCACATTATAAACGGCGTAAACTATGTCTCAACGATTACAATTGCAATTATAAAAAGATTTGAAAGTAATATTTAAGACAATTCGGTATTATTTTTAACGATACCAAATTTGTTTTTATTTTTATTTTTTTAAGTTTTCAGTTCACACAATTCACTCGGCGACGTACAATGAGCATTTGTTTCTGGTTGATTCCGTTCAGATAATTGATTGGGCAATTTCATGATTATTGAACTTATACAACTATTTAACTTTCGATCTAATGTTTTAATTTCTAGTTGTTGAGCGTTAACTATTGATAAGAACGCATTATTATACTTACCTACATATATGAATTATTGATAGTTAATGTCAATTTTTCAAAGCACTTGGAATGTGTCTTCACGTGTGCTAATTCGCCGACTCGTAGGTGGAATCAGTAAAGATTTGTCATGTGCATTACGTAAGTCGTGATTTGACGAGCGCTCAATTGAACGTGACTGATCAGTGTCTCTATTGGCGATGACTCATGAAGACCGATTTCGTACTATAAATTGAAATAGGCCATCATTACTGTCCACTATATCCAGGCCTCATTATTCCAAAATGTTGTAGTTATTAATTCAAACATTTGAAATTCGAATAGTTTACAGCTTATCACGTGTTTCAGAAAAACTATATGGTTTTTTATTTAAAAGAATAAACAAATGCATACAATATATAAAATCAATCTTGTTCGAAAAAAGAATGCCTCTTATATGAAACGTTATCTATTCAAAATAACTATTATGATTTCACCACTCACTGCACAAATTGCGTACTGAATCTGGCCATCGACAAATGAAGTGGTAGGCTCGATAAGGCTTTAATTACGAAAAAATCACCGCTATTAATCCAAATATCTTTGATTTCATCAGACGCACTCGCGTGCGTGCGTTACGCACCGTTCACACGGGAAAAGCTACATTGTCTTATAAATATTTTTAATTTCTAATTTTTGAAATTTATTCTTTTGTTAATTATCATGTTATCATTTTTATTAGACTAAACAGTTCGGCATTACTGTCTTTTCATAACTTTAAATTTAAAATGGAATGGTTAACCTCGTTTTGATTTCATTTTATTCGAATTATTAATTGATAGTGTACATTCAAACCTTAAAAAGGTTAAATTGAAAAATATACTGTGTACCTCCTAAGAAATTAATGGTGTTCGAAATTTAAGAGATTATTACGAAAAAGTTTTACTTGCGTTACGATAATGATCTGGCAAGGAGATCAAATATAAAACGTGCCCTTGCGATATTACCTGCGCATGAGGCGGGACGGCGAGCATATTCATCGGTTCACTTTCTACAACTCATTAGTAAATTACTGTTAATAGGCTCGTGTCTATGAATATTTGTTTTACACACAAACAAAAACTTCACCACGTGTGTGAGTGTACCGAATTCTATAAATTCTTGCAGCGCACATCCACGTCATACATCACCGATATCAGTATGTAATTGTCGAGCTTAATAAAACGGCTTACGCCAATTCGACCGATGCAACAATCGGACATCCGTCCAGATCGGCCGATAGTCCAGGCCCACAATGGGCAGGAAGCCCCACAACGCTTTATAAAACTATGGGAACGATAATTAGATTACGTTAATGAATTATTGTCAGCTCATCCGTTGATCGTCAGAGCGAAGCTGATCGAATAGCTCACTATTTTGAATTTAGAACCAATGAAAATTTTATTCGCAGTTCAAATATATTATTTTTTAAATCGTCAAGAAATATTTAGTACATTCGAAAATCAAATATTATTGTTACCAGCCAAACTAGGACTTTTTTTTAACGAAACCTCTTTGTTTGTTTCAGAGAGCCACACTGGCCGAAAAAGAGGTAACCACGCTCAAAGAGCAACTGGCGACCACCAGCCCCACCCCCCTGCAAGCTACCGTCCCCCTTAAGACCAATGGCTCCCATTTAGAACCTACCAGAGATCAGGCGACAGAAACGCGGATACCGGATATATTCGATATTAAAGAGGAGAAGCGAAGGACGCCAGAGATTGATGACGAGGTAGAACAGAAAATGGAGATGGCCGCCACTGGTAGGAGCAACAGCAACTCCTCGAGGAGTAGTCCGGTGGTGCATCAGGGGGGCAACTTGGAGACGGAGCTCGCTGCCAAAGAAAAAGAGGTAACTTATATTACTACACATCACATATTTAGTATTAGCTTAAGTATTGATATACATAGAGTAGACTCGACACACAGGCTTGTTTGGCGTTAGAAGTCATCACAAGAAACCATATCGTAAACGTCGAATGTTAATAACCAAAAACTTGAAAATTTCCAATATCCAATAATAAAGATAGATAATATAAATAGATCGATCTATCATTCAGTCCCCTAGCAATAACCAAGAGTTATAAAGCTGAGGTCACTCGGTTAACTGGTTAGAAAATTACAGTTAAAGGATGCAATAGCCTTGTAGTTAACTGGGCATGCGCGCAAGTCATCTCGTATCGAATGTAACGTACGATCAATAAATCAATTACATGTGCGGGGGCATCGCTGAATTGGATTTGACAGTTGGCTAGATCTAGTGATGCGCACCGACCTCGGATCACTTATCGATGAAGTTCGAGATGAGTTCTCTATGATTACTAATACAATCAATAACTTATGATAGAACAGTAGATGAGACGAGTTTATAAATAAAATCTGAGATAAGCAAGATCTTAGGGTAAGTATTTTGTAATATTTGAATGAAGTAAAATGGTTGATCGATTTATAGTTTCAGAATGCTCCCAATAGTGCAATTTCCAAATTTCTCTGAATAAAAATTCAATAACACCCCGTTATTAAATTTCAAGTTTATTTTTTCCTCTTTTGAAACAACATAAAAGACAATTTGTACTCCTAATGGCAATTGTATTTTAAACCGGTAAATTTTAAAATAATAATGGTGGAATCGACAACTTTTAATAAATTTCATCGATCAGATTTATCAATAGTTAATTTTGATCGATATCGACGCATCGAGTTGATCGGATAGGGGCGCACTATCGGAGGGAAACAGGATACGTTCAATGGGATGATTGATCGGCACCAAACGAACGGTAATCCCTGCACTAAATAAATATCATACTTTATGAGCTTACTTACTTAAACTTCGGGACTACGAAATAAACATAGATGTTAAGAAATTCGAAAGACCTGAGTTTGTGTTCAAAATATTTAGGTCATAGAGCTGTCAGTGAATAAGTAATAGAGCTTTTTAGATAAAACAAGATTACAGATCAGGGCTTGATAATCATAAATGAACGTTTGCACTGATTTCATGTCACTCCTTGCCTATAATAGGAACAGACAAATCAGTTTGTTAACTCATACTAGTTAAGTCAACACTAATCTACATCATCTACGATTTTCTCCCTCGTCCTTAATAACCACTGTGTCTCATAATTAATTAAACTCCTATTATAATAAATATAAAAAGAGTTCATCCCGAGAAACTATTTTTTTTTTATTTGACTAATTTCATGTTATTCGAACCAAATTTGATTTTGTTAAAAGTAAAATAAAAAGCTCTTTGATCTTTGATTGAGTTTCTCATGATTGAGTGATTATAAAATACGCGCAGAAGCGTCATTAACAACCGTCATTTTAATTATATACCTACTATTCCACATTCATTTATTTTATTGGGTTATATTTAAAAAGAAACGTCAACATTATTTTCGTTCGTCTGCTTCCTAACATCAGAGGGCGATTTTTTTACCTGACGACTTCGATCTTAATTGGCATTGGCAAAAGATCAGAGATGTACAACTCCTCAATTAGTTCCAAAGTACGAGCCAAATTGATTGTCTGTCATTGATTATGATGATACTTGCGCTCGAGTGTGACTACGATTGGCTAAAAGAATACAAAGATTATTATAATTTAAAACAGACGTGAAACATGATTGAAATATAGAATCAAACTTTAAGTTTTTGGTTCGAACATATGATAGATTAACGAAAATGATGTACGATTCCAAGTCTAGTAGAAACTACACTTTGGCGTTTTGCAATAAGGCTAAGGCTTTAAACTAGTGAAGGTGTACACGCTTTAACAAGGAAGCCACAGACAAATTTAAGATCCTTACCTTGTGTATCTCGATTTCATCTGCCTACCCCGCAAAGAATTTGGTGCGAAGATATATATGAATATTTATATATTGATGATTTTATATCATATAGATTAAACAGAGCTCTGTACAACAAAGTATTCACAATAGTTACGAATCTTATACGTACGTGCAATGAGAAGCCGATCTTTATATAACTCATTAACCCAAATAGTTCACTAAAACAAATCGCATAAAGCTCAATTTAAAACCCATTCTTTAAAACTGCTGATGTACGCAATTTCATCCGTTCGCTTTTAAGAGTGAATCGAACAGTAAAACATTTAACAATAGACTTGATAATTTTAGAGTCTAAAACTAAATGACTGATGTGCAATAAATCAATTACATACGCTTACGAAACGTTGCATTACTTCCGCTTAACACTTCACGCTATCAAACAAAACGTTTAGCAGTTCCATTAAGAAAAAACATAATGGCACTCCGTTGTTAACGCCGATCAATCAATCAATATTATCGATAGGCTCAATTAAAAACAACTCGTGCGCGCAGAGGCGGCGAGGCGTCTGAACCAATTTAGCTATTTATTTATCATTATAAGCGTAAAGCATCGACTCCTACGCAGAAATCTACAGAGGTCGGATGTCGTTGAACTTGGACAATATCCTAATGATAAATAGCAATTCGACCAATTTTTTAAATTACAAAATGATGGTAGTTTAAATCGAAATTATAGGTTCACACTTTCGAAACGATCTAAAACATTTGAAAATAGTATAACGCATTCGATGTGCAAAATAGGCAAACCAATTTTGGTATAAAATTTCGTATAACAAACTAGAACGTTGAGAGCTCTTGCGAAAATTGAATTTGAAAAAAGAATCGTACAGCCATTTCAAGTACTTTTTCCACATCACGGACTAATTTGAAATGAGAGTCGAAATTTGAAAGACGGGTAGTAACAAGTGTGTTCTTTCAAAATGTTACCATTCAGCCTTCTGAATCATTAGTCCATTGAATCGCCGAAATGCAACCAGCGTATAACGAAACGGAATTTTCTCGTTTTTGTTTCGCATTCAATATATTTGTTTGAATAGTTGAATATTGCTTCTGACTGAAGCTGGACGCTGGAATAATAGCAACTCACTTTTTATTTCAATAATTTCTATCCATCGTTATAGATTATCAAAAAATTACCAATTTTTCAGTAAAGACGATCAAATATAGTGTCAATATTTATGTAAAGGGTTGTCCACAGTCAATTCAAAAACAAATGAGAGAAAAATCCAAAGGAGCTCCCCTTAAATGCTTAAACAGTGTCGAAACTCCATTGAGTTGAGAAATAAAAGCTGTTATTTAGCGTTCGTAACGAACGCCTTTGTGTACGGAACTCAAATTCCTGTACTATCTACGGCGAAGTTCGCAGCAATTTATAATACAACGCCGCTTTAGCATAAGTCGGTGCATTCAAAGAATGCGATCGCGTACCAGTGCAAACACAACACAACGATATCTCATGGAATTTTGTAAAAGCAAACCTAGTAGACGATTTTGTTAAGCTTGAAATGGTGGTATGGTGGAATCGTGAGGCGACAGTTTGTTTTCATGTAAATACTAGCCGCTTACAATATAACTTTCAAAAGACATCCATTAGTCAAAAATTTTAATATCGAACAACAAATAATGTTCAACAATTCGAATAAGCAATCAGTATATCAATTCTTTAAATTTAAACGACATCACGTCTATTCCCTTCGAATCCCCTTAGAATCGTCAGTAACAACTGATAGTCACTCGCTACTATCATCGTGACACCACTTTTTCATTCATCCAAGGCTTATTAATCAAAGCATGAACATGTAATATTTTATAGACAAAAACATTAATGAGACATACATAATCAAAGAATCGCAAACTCCAAGAAAGGGGGAAAGAAATCAAAACTTGAACAAAAGCCACTCGTTGCTTAACCTTTGACAATAAACAAAAACGAGTCGACATAACAAAAATTGTATTCATAAAAATTAAAAAAAAAAGGAAATGAATATGGTTCGATTCAATACTTTATTGCCGTCATCGGGCAATCTGTAACTTTCCGTGTGTTTCTTTACAATTTTTTCTCTCTCTTCCCAGTTTTTAATTGAGTTTGAAGAAAGGGTTAGGAACGTCGAAATGTTATTTCTTTTTGATGACATTCGATAAATGTTTCAGTTATAAGAGAAAACTTTTCTGATTATGGTTTCCCTAAATTGGTTTCGACCGAGGAAGCCATCTTACTTTCTGATTCTTTTTCCTCAATTCTTTCTTTATTGTTTAATTAGATTTAGTCTGTTAAATAAAATGGATATCTAAACGGTATTCCACTAGGATTTGTTTAAAAAAAGTCAAATCCAAAAGTGCTTTCACTAAGTTTACTTGAACAAAGAATAACTATTTTCTTTCTGAAACAAAAACTTGTAATATATTTTCCATGTCAGTTGTGCAAAGAAACATCCCTACTAAATATCAGTTTGTTTTATGATCCCATCGTCACATCCCCCGACCATTTGAACGGCAAAGATGTCCGATGTTTATGAAACAGTCAAACAAATATCACAGTAACACCTGACTCTAACAACGTAAACACTAGCACGATTCTCACACGTACCTCAACATTAAAAAGTCCAAAAACAAATCTTTACCATTTACTATAGAAACGGGAGCCTCTATTTAATTACGAAAGTAATAATACGTTCGTAAATCATAAACACCTTTCTTTTAGGCGATAAACTAGAGCTTTCATCTCGGCATCATAGATGGCGCTGCACAAGAAACTGTAAACTCCTCTTTAATGTCACTCCACGGTAGGACATGAAAGAGTGATGACGCTATTTTTGTACAAACCAAAACGAAAACATTCGAAATTAGTTTATGACGTCTGTCTGTCGTTCGATTTATTTTAATTCTGTTATTTTTGGTGAACGAACACATTTCTCTTATTAAATCTTGGACGTCGTAAAGTCTGCTGTTCGACAGTGAATTATCTTTGAGCTCGCTTGACTAATGATGTTGGGCGGAATATG